TCTAGAAATGAAGTGGCAGTATGGAAGAGAAAGTCTGGATGACTTCATATCCAAGGCAAACAACTTCCATCCTTCAATAAAATTCACAGGCAGAAATTTCCAACTCAAACCATGTTTTCCTGGACACAACAATCATACTGGTGGAAAACAAATTACACACAGACATCTACTCGAAACCAACCGACAAACACCAGTATCTTCTCCCAACCAGCTGTCATCCAAAACACTGCATTAAGAACATTCCATATAGCCAGGCACTGAGGATACGCAGAATTTGCTCCGACGATGAAAGATTCCTAAGAAGGTCTGAAGAGCTGGCTAAACATTTAATTTACCGAGGCTACGACAAAAACCTGATTGCGGAGGCAATCCAAAGGGCAAAACAAACAAACCATGATGACCTACTCAGATATGGACAGAAAGAAAAGGTTGATAGGATACCATTTATTCTGACCTATCACCCAGACAATCCCAAAGTAGGTAAAATCATGGCAAACCACTGGCCAACCGTGCAATCGTCAGACATACTAAACCTAATACTTCCGAACAAACCTGTAGTAGCTTACCGGAGACCAAAAGACCTAAAGGACATCCTAGTCAGGTCAAAGCTAACGCCAATCGTTAGTCAAAACCAACCTAGTCAATCTGGACCCTGTGGCGATAAAAGATGCAAAACCTGTCAACATATGATAGAGACCAAGACATTCACTAGCACAGTGACTAAAGAAAAACTAAACATACATGGACCAAATAAAACGTGCAAAACAGAGAATGTGATTTATCTCATCACATGTAAGATCTGTGGCCTTCAGTACGTCGGAGAAACTGAAAAGCTACACAAAAGGATAAACCATCATAGATCTGATTGGATGACAAAAAAGCTGTACAGAAGCCCGGTCGCAGAACACTTCTCCTCCCCTGGCCACACTTTTAGTGATATAATACTTATCGCTATTGCTAACAATCACAGCTGGAGTTCTGAAACCAGGAAGGAAAAGGAATCATACTGGATACGCCGCCTTAGAACATTGAAACCATGCGGTCTAAACCAAGAAGACTAGAAAATGAAAACTATGCACTAGTAGAATATAACATTTTCTAAATCTTCTTATTATCCTTCAATTTTTACTCTAAGAGTAACCGGTATAGAATCAAATATCCGGGATATAATCTGCGTTACATATGTACAAAAAGTAAAAATAGATATCGCTTTGGCTTGTAGACTTTTAGGGACTTATACAACATTTTCAGTTTCCGCAACTAGTCTATACAAGCTGGTTGTATTTATAGTTTTAGCACATGTGAAGACAACCATGTAGAGGTTTACAAACATAACGTTTTTGTGTTTATTTGTTTGTCGTATATATGTTTTGTATTTGCCTTTGAAAAAGACTCATTAAGAGTCGAAAGCGCTTAGGCTAGTTAGTTACTAGTTTCGTACTGTTCGTCGTCAGTTTATTGCATCTATATATATATATATATATATATATATATATATATATATATATATATATATATATATATATATATAAAGTACGGCAACTGCAGCAAGGATTATGTGTGTGTGTTGCTCTCTAATTTTATATAGAAGAGAAACTCATAAAAATAAAGTCTTATAATTATGCTTCCTTTTCTCTTCAGGGAAAGACATGTCACAATTTATGGGTCCTCAAGCTAATAGTAAGTTAACCCTATCATTAGAAGTATACGATAAACGTTACATAATTCAAAACTTTTAATGTTTCTACGAATATCTCCAAAGTCATAAGCAATTTTAAACTTCTATAAACTTCGGCAAAATATAATTTGTTATATGTTGCAAAAGGCACATTTCCACAGCATGCATCGATGATGTGTAGGCTAGGATATACTTAAACAGTACAAACTATACTTTTTCGTTGAAAGCACATGTAGACGGATTGTACAAACATCGCCTGCTTCGACCGGAAGCTCTCGTCCTTTTTCTGTCGCGAGAAAAAATGGATTTGTCTCTAATCGAAAAGTGACGAAATTTTGTAAATACCCTAATTTAGCCCTGTACAAAATATCTTTCAAAAACAGTTCAACTGATTCACTTACATATAATGCAGTTTTTCCTTATATTTTTAATCTATGCTTTCTAATCTTTTGTCACTGTTGGTAAATATGGCTTTTGTATTCAACTTCTACACATCTTTTCTTATGCATTTCAAAATACGCATGACATTCTTCGGAAACCGTTTCCTGCAACCTATGCGTCATTTAGTCCTCTGATTTTGCTGTTTAATATCAGTCTCTATTTATAATGAGAAGATGTGAACTTTTCGGTTAAATAATTTTATTTTCATCTGAGTTTATTTTCACTTGATTTCCTGCCAATGATAAAAACAACGAAATGCAAATATACCCTTTTACATGAATGATAATAATTTACTTCTATGTTGACTTACAGCTGGTGCCAGTAATCCTGCTAATTTCAACCCAGGAGAAATTAATTCATTAATGGCATCGAATGGAGCAAGTTTAAATATGTTCGGAGGTATTTTTCTTCTTTTCATGATGATTTTGATCATTCGTCTAACTATTTGAATACTTGTACTCTCCTATCTTGTATATACATGGGGTTTTGACATCGTTATGTTATGAAAAACCACCGTTCTTTTATCGTGATCTATCACAAAGAAAATTAAATTCAAACGGATTGTAGTCGTAATGCTTGAAACTATGAGAGAATTATGTTATTTTTTCAGTACTTAAAGGGAAAAACTGAATGATATTCTTTTTAAACTTGAAGAAAAACTAATTCTCTTGCTTGCACCTTAGGTGCCAAACTTAGTGGAGATCCAAGCAAAATGGACGCTTCAAGTGTGATGACCGGTGGTAATGCTTTAAACAGTGGTGCAATGGGAGCAGGAGGAACCGGAACAAATAATGGTGGTGGTTCGAATGTATTCAACCCCATGGCGATGATGGGAGGTAGCACAGGAAGCAACGGTGCAAGTGGAGGGTTGAGCGGAAATGGTGGAACGAACGTGTTTGATCCCAACGCGATGATGGGAGGTACGTACATGTTTTTCTTTATTTTATATTCGTCAAAATGTTTTCAGCAAAGATGCAAGAATAAAAAAAAGTAAATTTCTCAACTTTTTCCATGAAGTTAAATTATCGAGAAAGAGTCCGATGATGAGAATATTTTTCTCATAAAGGTTTTTGATATATATGTCTTTTTCTGTTTTCACCAAACTTTCGCAACTTATAAAGTCAATTTTATAATTACAATGAAAATTGCAGTAAAGACTCGATATTTCTAATATTCTTTTAAGGTGGTTCCATGAATCCAATGATGCCAGGAGGAGGGACGAACCCTATGATGCCAGGTGGATCGATGACAGGTGGCACTAATGCAAATACTAATACGATGATACAAGGTTCGACAGGTTAACGAGTCATTGCAAATTTCGTGTTAGGATCGCGATTCAATTATAAATTAGCTTACGCTGGAAGAATATTGGGCAAATAGCATACTAAATTTTGTTTCGGGCGTGAGGTTTTTCTTTTTAACTGTACATTTGAAAGTAAAATTTTACTTCGAGAAAATATTTTAGAGTTGGAATATGAAATTCCTGTCATCTGCCAAATACTTCGTTTGTCTTTTTATTCGTGTATCGTCTTGGTCTTTCTTCATATAATTCTTATCAGCTATTTAGCATTTACTCTCTCTCTCTCTCTCTCTCTCTCTCTCTCTCTCTCTCTCTCTCTCTCTCTCTCTCTCTCTCTCTCTCTCTCTCTCTTCAGGTAAAATAATCCATGGAGAATACTTTTTCCAGGAATGAATCCCATGGGAGTAAACCAGCTTGATCCCTTGGGAGCCATGTTAGGTAAGCTTGGAGTTATTCTGTGGAATCTATATATAAGAAAGTCGGATTATTTATTCAGGTCGGAATGAAAAAAGAAAATTCTTTAAAATGCCAGGAAGATCCCTTTCCCATTTCTGATTAAATTATGTTTAAATAATTGTTTTGAGGCTTTGCAGTAGTAAGTCGCGGTCTGGGGTCACTGTATTTGATTTTATTGCCTACCGATGCCGCGGGCTGGGGTAACTGTATTGCTTTTATTGCTTACAAATGTTTAGACTATATTCAAACATTTTTGTGTCAAAACAATGACTCAATCAAGAGTTTGCAAATTTGTATGTCTTTAAATTTTTTATGAGTATCGTTTAAAGGATTGTATTTTCAAGATCCTCTTTTAAAATCTTTTTAAAAAAAAATTCTCTACACATGAAAACCCAAGGTTTATTGATATTTAATAAATTGCTTTTAAAAGTGTTACTCTCAGATCCCCTTTTTAATACATATGAAGAAGTGATATAACCAGGAAACTGATAACTTGCTTAGAATCGAATCGTGACAGTACATTGACTGAAACAGTGATTATGTTGAGATGTAAGAACTATAACGACTAATGTTACACCTACCGTAAAGATAGATATCCATACTAATGCTACACCTACCGTTAAAATAGTACTCAATGGTTTTCTTCTCCAAAAAAATCCCCAAAGAACAAAACAACGCGACCAACAAACAAATGATTAACTTGTTGGGAAGAATTACATAGTGCATTCTACTCATCTTGTTAAGGATGTTTGCCTAAATACATTTTCTCAGTTTTGTATCATACAATTCACAAAGGGAAAATAATCATTTCAAATACACATATCTGGTGACACTTATAGTCAGTAACTCTTTACAAATACAATGGAATTAATCACCCGACAAAATCTTCACCAGTTATATTTCATATTTATAGCATTCACTTCATCTTAGTCAGCCAGTAAAACAAAAGTAAGAAAGAAAATAAATAAATGCATCAGTTTTAATTGTTGTAGTATTTAAAATAGGCTATTAGGAGACTATCTCTCTCTCTCTCTCTCTCTCTCTCTCTCTCTCTCTCTCTCTCTCTCTCTCTCTCTCTCTCTCTCTCTCTCTCTCTCTCTCTCTCTCTCTCTCTCTCTCTCGACCGCTCCAGTAGCCTAGTGGTTAGAGCATCCGCCTCGGACGCGGGAGGTAGTGGGTTCGATCAACGGCCGAGTCATACCAATAACATACCCAAAAATGGTATTAACAGCTACCTCGCTTGGCGCTCAGCATTAAAAGGTTAGTGTTAGGACTGGTTGGCCTGGTGTCAGGATAATTAGGTGCGACATCATGCAACATGTCTGCGGCATGATGCCCCAGTGCTAGACATCACTATAAAACGCCACACTGCAGACATCGCAGCAAAATGACTGAAAAAAGCTACGTTAAAGATCATAATCACATAATCTCTCTCTCTCTCTCTCTCTCTCTCTCTCTCTCTCTCTCTCTCTCTCTCTCTCTCTCTCTCTCTCTCTCTCTCTCTCTCTCTCTCTCTCTCTCTCTCTGAAATCATCTCGTTGTAAAGAAGAAACTGAAGTTGCTACCAAAATTTATTCCTAAATTCTTTTTCATAGTTTAGAGTAATTCATGATGACTTGATCGCTTTAAAAACGCTTGCAATTATATATATATATATATATATATATATATATATATATATATATATATATATATATATATATATATATATATATATATATATATATATATAACGAGAATTACTCACAAAAGCTCTAAATGAAATTGTTCGGTTGGATGCAGTTTTTAAATCGGTGGACTATTATTTTCTATATCATTTTTACACCCGTAATGTTTCGTCTGATCTCTTGCAACGTTTTCTTCGTATGTCTTTTAAATCCTAACCCATGTGCGCACAACAAAAATCCTTTTTGACCATGATATATAAATAGAAAACTACTTTGTACTTTTCTTTTTTGCACGCTCATTCACACCTATGTTTAAAAACAGCCATAGTCAATAAAACCGATTAAAACTAACGTGGTAACTGACGTCCATTTTAAAATAACGTCAAAACACTCACGGTATGTAGTAGTCTACCAAGTTGTAATTTTAAGGCTTTGTCATAACTTAAACTTAGTTTTGAGTTTAATATCACATCCACGGTAGTTGAATTTAATTCTGGTTTAATGAATGCCACTGAATGAATGCAAAAAATGCACTATATTCATTTAATCAATATATTATAAATTGGAGATATACATAGGTCAGGAGAAGAAATTTTTAAAATAAATGCTACTAGTTCATGAGTAAACACTACATTTTTAATTGACACATATTGTTCTTCAAAACGCAATAGCAATTTGCTAATTTAAAATTTTCTCCATCTTTGACCTTGGTATCTCTCATTGTTAATCACTACATGAGTTGTACTTCGAGGATATTTGTTAGCTCCCACACAAATTAAAAATTTTTATGCAGCTTTTCTGTATTGTAAACATCTTCCAAATGCTATTAGGAGTCATATGATACAATTATTTGTAATGTACTATAATTTATTTGTGTATAATGAGAGCGTATCTTCTTGTGCTTAGGATCTTATTTCGTGTTTGGAAAAATTAATCTTAAATTTTCATAGCTTTTACCTGTTATTGGCATGCTTTTACACCAATCATCCTGCTTGTTTTCTTTTATTCTTAGTCTGCATGAAAGATTTTAACTTCTCTGATTTATATTAATTCCCAAATTGTTACTTAAAGCAAAGCTTTGTTGCGTGCATTTAAAACTTTTTTGAAGCTGAAAATTCAATGCTTTCTACAAGATTTGTTTTTGAGCCATGCTTATTCGCTTTGCATAATTATTTGTCTGCTTTATTTCTTGCTCAGGTGGTGCTAAGAACTTCTCAGGCGGAAGCAACCTGATAGATCCAATGGGATTCATGAATGGTAGGTTCCCATTCCCATGTACTTCAAGGATGAATTTTACCTTTAGATATAGTATTATTAGAAGATTTTCTCCTGCAGTTATATGAACTAGTCCCGGTCTATCTACCAATTTATGATTACAATATAAAATGTTTAAATTATAAGAACTCGTCTATGAGCAATACAAGAGACTTCACCATTGTTCAACAAAAGCATGTTCCTAGTGGCAAGACCACCTATCATCCTTTCCAAAATATAACCTTCATTATATATTTTTTATAATTAAAAAAAAACATTGAAACCAAAGCAAAATAATAGAAAATGGTAAAGGACAAGATATCACATCATTTTGCATAAAATAAACCCAGTCTTCATCTTGCATAAAATAAACCCACTCATCATTCTGCATAAAATAAACACACTCATCATCCTGCATAAAAAAATCCAGTCATCATCTTGTATAAAATAAATCCAGTAATCATCTTGCATAAAATAAACACACTCATCATCCTGTATCAAATAAATCTAGTCAATATACATTATATATATATATATATATATATATATATATATATATATATATATATATATATATATATATATATATATATATATATATATATATATGCATGCAAATAGAAAGCAAACAAGAAATGGAAGAGGGAGAAGACAGCCTAAAATCCATTAAGAAATAAACATCATTCAGTATACAATATTTATAATAAACGGATAAGAAAAGCGTTGAAATGTCAAATGATTAATGGAAGCATTCTTCGACGATGTTTCGACTCATATAATAAAAATGGAAACCTAGTTAGTATTGACCTATACCATGAGAAACAATAACGACATTTGTTATTAATGTAAAGTGGTGAAGTCGCTGATTATATCAGGGATAATTCATTGTTTATGTACTGTCACTTATTACCATAACAATAATAATACAAGCAAGAATTACAGAAATACGAATTAAATGTGAGTGAAGGATTTAGAAATAAACTATTTAAGTGGAAACAATTAGGCCATAAAGATGACGATTTTCTTTGAGTGTTGATGGTCTTTTACAGTCTTCTTAATTTAAGTCGTTGGGATAGCGTATCCAGCACACACATTTTTCTTTATTGGTTTCGAAACTCCACTTGAGGTCATGAGCAATCGCGGTTATATGACAAGGTATGGCTAGGGAAAACGAAGTTTTCTGCAACTTGACTTCTGTCCAGATTCTTTGCGAGTTTGTCATATCTGTAAAGACTGCTCATATTACGTATCTTTTCAGTTTCTCATAGATAAAGAGGGTCACATAGCTTGCAAATAATGAAACAACAATATATGTTTTGCACGTTCTGCTACCACCATGTATTTTCAATATTTCTCTCGTCGCTAGTCTAGAGAAGGTGTTGGTCTCTATCATATACTGGCAGGCTTTACACGTCATCGCAACTGCAACCAGATGTGCCAGCGTAGTCTTGGCTTGTGGTGTGAGTTAGCTTTAATCTGACTAGGATGTTTCAGTTGTATCTGGATCGATGTCAGATTAGTACTTGTTTGTTAGGGAGAATAATTCAGCGATGGGCGCTTGAATAATTCGACTTTTGTTGGTATTATTTGGATCGTAAATCAGGAAAAATGGTATCCGATAAAATTTTTCCTTTTCATGCATCATGCTAATTGCTATTGCCCACAATCGCAACTGGAGTTCCAAAGCTCGTAAAGAAAAGGCATCTTACTGGACACACAGACCTAGAACATTCGAACCAAGCAACTTAAACCAAGAAGACCCCAAACATAAAACCCACATTTGTTGACAGTCCCAATTCTTTTAATTAAATAATTAATTCGTTTTGCTCATTACTCACGCACTCAACACATTAATATTTTTTTTTGTGTAGTTTTTGCTGCATTATTATTGTTATTGTTATTACTGTTATTATCAGTGATACGATTTCACAACTTAACCACATTACATTAAGCACACTGATGGCGCTGTTGCTCCTCTTTTTGAAGGTCGCCAATAGTTTGCCATTTTTATTATTCTTTGACTCGAAACTGCGAAATTGAACATTTTCTAAAGAAAACTACCTTTTGACAGACACATACGCACATGGTTTTTATAAATTTGTGTAAATTTTATTCATTATTTAAATTGTACAGGATATCTTGAGTTAGATTTTGCCTACGTGGTCTGAGTCTGTTAAGAGCGGAAATTGCATAATATAAACAAATATAATGCTCACGCATGTGTTGAAAATTATTACCAATAATTTTGATCAAAAGATTTAATTGTGTCTTTGGAATAATTTTTTGTTTGCTGATGGTGTTTCAACGCTTCTAGAAGAATTCAGTAACTTCCAATTGGCTGGGCTAGGTTACATGAATAGGCATGTTTGGGGTAAAAAAAAAACAAAAAGTAGTAAGATCCGTCATATGGGGTATATTATGAAATTTAGTCGCAATAGAAGGTGTATGTAAGGAAAGAACTGATCAATCAGATTTATTTGAAATTTGGAGTCATTCTAATTTGTCGTGTTCTTGTTGTAAGTCTGTAGGCGTGTTTTATGTTGTAATTAGATATTATTCGAGAGGATAAACATTTGTTTGGACTGTACATTTGAAATAGAAAGTGCCCATTCTTTAGACTATAATAATACTTTGCAACTGTATTGAATTATTCTTAGGAGTTCTGGGCGACACCATCTTGACAACGTCACGATTTTTAGCGTACAAATGCATTACAGGTTTTGAAATTTATACAGTTTTCAATCGTTTAGGACTTTCATAGAACTTTGTCAAGATTATTCTGGATTCACATCATAATACTTCAAGTTCCTCTCACATTTTCAGTTATACTTCGAAATTTAAATGCTTTGTTAAGTTTTGAAAAAGTTTGTTGGTTTTGCTTGTTCCCGTACCTTAGTTTATGACAATAGTCATATATATATATATATATATATATATATATATATATATATATATATATATATATATATATATATATATATATATATATATATATATATATATATATATATATATATATATATGAACAATAACAGACTGAATGATCCAAACCACATTTATCTTCATGAATCAATATTCCACTAACACAAACATTACTTACATCAACACATTGTAAACAACAGACATAAATTTAGAACTGAAAGAACAATTGTACTTTAAATTATCTGAATTATTACCAGGTCTATCGCTACCAAAGCATTTCTTAAATATTGATATAACAGAGCAGCATCGTCTGAGTGTGCGAAGATATCTATGCCATCTTTAGTGGTGTCAAACA